TCCCCTTGCAATTTGACAGATCGAATCCCACCAGGCTTAAGGTTGACTCAGCCTTCCATCCTTCCGAAGTAGGTAAAATGAGGACCCAAATTGTTGGAGGCAATACGCTGACTCTGTAAACCACTTTGAGAGGGCTGTAAAGCACTCTCACAAAACATTTGCTAGACCAATACTCGAATACAGCTCATCAGTCTGGAACCCACATTACGTATCTGATATTAGCACAATTGAGAAAGTCCAGAAATATTTCACAAGAAGAGTTCTCCACTCCTCTACTCGCTGTAGAGTACCTTATGCCACCAGACTTGAAATTCTAGAACTAGAAAACCTTGAATTATGTCGTCTTCGGTCTGATTTAAGTATGGTATATAAAATCATACATTGCAATGTCCTACCTGTCAATGAATACTTCAGCTTCAACCATAACAACACAAGAGCACACAACAGATACAAACTCAAGGTTAACTGCACCAAACTTGATTGCAGGAAATACGGCTTCAGCAACAGAGTGGTCAATGTCTGGAATGCTCTATCTGACTCTGTAGTTTCTTCCCCAAACCCCAAAAACTTTAACCTTAGACTGTCTACTACTGACCTCACCCCTTTCCTAAGAGGTCTGTAGGGGGCGTGCATAAGCGCACCAATGTGCCTACCGTCCCTGTCCTATTATTTCTTTTATTTTTCTTTTATGTACCCATTTCATGTATTCATAACTATGTATACACTTATACTTATTATCTTGTAAACAATTGACAAATCAAATAAATAAATAAAAATAAAATAAACTATAAAGCGGTATATAAGTCTAAGTGTTATTGCTATCTACTGATGTGTATACAACAGTCAAGGTTATGTACTGAAAACAGGGAAAAGGAAGGAAAGAAAAGGGTGGCCGACTTGACCCCAAAGCGCACACACACACACACATACACACATACCGTTTTTAAGAAGAGGTTGGACATCCATTTGCCTGAAATAGTATAGGGTTTCCTGCCTGAGCAGGGGGTTGGACTAGAAGACCTCCAAGGTCCCTTCCAACTCTGTTATTCTGTTCTGTTCTGTCCCTATTCCTATTCTTAGACAATTGGTTCAGCTCCTTTCCCAAAAGCTTATTGCCATGGTTTACAATTTACATTTGAGAGAAATACAGGAAGAAAGTAGTTCTGTGAACAGCCAAAAGTCCTTCGAAAAGGTTTCACAAAAATACATAACAGTATGTGAGATTTTGAAAGCGCTTTGTATGAACAGAGAGAAGTGGCACCACAGGCATTGCAGCCATCAGAGGCAGCAAAGAATGACAATTGCCGTTAAATTCAAACCAGACGTGTCTAGTCCTGCATCCTGTTTTCCAATACACTGGCCAAATAGGATGACCTCTGGATAGCAGCCAGCTTGGGTTTGATGGAGTCAGCTATCTTCTCTAATAACTGGTTAGTGTGAGATGGCATGGCTCAGTGCTGAATGAATTGATTCCATTTAGCTTGTGGAATGCCTTCTTAGGCTGACTATCCTGGTGTCTGTTGTCGGGGAAAGATTTCTTCTTTTTTTAAAAAGAATAAAAAACATTTAAGTTTACTTGTTAGATATTTCGCATTAATCACAATTACTGGCAATTTTTCCTTTTGTTTTTATGCTAGCGCTGTTTTATTTTGCAGAGAATCTTAACCGTTTGGAGAAATCCTGCATGTAACTGAAATACAAATGCATCCATATAAGATTAGCTGGAGGAAAACAGAGGTGTATCTAGTTCACCAGCATACTCTTAACACAGATATTCGTTGTTCAGAAAAAGAGCTTTGTTGGATGAGACTAAATTGTACAGGTAGTCCTTGACTTACAATAGTTCATTTAGTGACCGTTCGAAGTTACCGTGGCACTGAAAAAAGTAATGCTTCTTTGTTTTCATCCTTACAATTGTTGCAGGATCTCCATGGTCATGTGACCAAATTCAGACGCTTGGCAACTGACTCATATTTATGAAGGTTGCGATGTCTCACGGTCATGTGATCAGCTTTTGCAACTTTCTGAAAGTTGCAAAGTCAATGGGAAATTCAAATTCATTTAACGGCCATGTTATTAAGTTAACAACTACAGTGATTCACTTAACAACTGTGGCAAGAAAAGTCGTAAAACGGGGGGAAATTCACTTAACAAAACTGTCTCGCTTAGCAACAGAAATGTTGGGCTCAATTGTGATCGTAAGTCGAGGACTACCTGCATTTCCTCCCTTTTGTGTTCTCTTTCCAAAACCTGTCGGGCAGAGGCCTTTAGAAAGCCCTCAAAGAAGGCAAAAAGCTAACAGTTTTGTCCATGTTTCCTTTTCTTGGTATTTAGTACTAAGGCTTAGACTGCCCCGATATTTGGATATTTCACATAGACTTATGATCTTCCCGTGAAAATGCATTTTCAGAGCCTTTAAAAAGCCTTTAAGAAGATGCTGGATCAGCATTCAGCTTTCCACTCTACCTGCCTCTTTTCATTTGACTTTACTTCCATGTTGCGAAGCAGCCTCCAGTTCTCCTTTTCTTGCTATATTTATGCACTTGCCCTCTGATTCACTCATGGTGGAGACAAGGATTAACTAGACAGATGTCCAGAAAGTCAGATCCTTTCATCCTTACATCCGTTTTTCTTCATCAGCAAACACCAGAACTTTGCCTAGTTTGGTAGTTTGGGTTTTTGTCAACACGTGCTTCCATCGTAGCTTCCCTTTTCTTGGGTCACTTCCTTCCTTAGAATTGGTTTCCTTCTGTTTCTTTTTCTGCTTTATTGTGCTCCTCACATCCAGCTTTTCTTCCTTATTCAGTGAGCAGGTGAGCACACTGTAATAAGCTGGTGTTCAAAATACCCAGGAAGGGTTGATCCTTCTCTGCACTGGCTCGCAGAGGATGACCCCCATCTCATTATAAATACTTCTTTCTCTGGACTGAGGCTGTGGTGGTGTGAAACATTTTACAACTCTGAAATCTTCTCAAGCTGTGGATGAAGTTCTCCCCTTTGTCCTCTGGGCAGCCATATGCATGTAAGCTACAGTACTGGGTGTAAAATTGTCCCAAGATTAGAAATAGCAGTCTCAGCAGCTGCTTTGAAATGTCCACATGTGTGAGCCTGGCTGTAGAGTGCAGGCTTTGGGGAAACTAAACGGTCCAAGCTCCAATTTTCTTCTAAAGACTGAAAAATATCCCCTCTCCTGCCTTCCTATCCATTCTGTTCTTTTTATTCGTTTGAAACCTTGAATCACCCAATCACTTTCTGCTTAATTGTCTATTAAACAGAAGAGCTTCTAATGTTTTGATTGCTGAAATTTTCTAAATGTTTCTAATTTTCTAATTATTAGGAATGTTTATTTCTAAACAATTATGAAAGGCCTGAAATTTTCTAACGTTTCTAAAAGTTTCTAATGTTTTGATTGCTGAGCGAGAAGTGAAAGACTAAGGCTGACATGATAGTAGTATTCCAGTATTTGAGCGGCTGCCACAAAGTAGAAGGGGCCAACTTATTTTCCAAAGCATCAGAAGGCAAGACAAAAAACAATGGAAGGAAATTAATCAAGGAGAGAAGCAACCTGGAATTAAGGAGAAACTTCCAAATAGGGAGGACAATTAACCAGTGGAACAAGTTGCCTCCAGGAGTCGTGGGTCTTTCATCACTGGGGGTTTTGAAGAAGAGACTGGACAGCCACCTGTCTGAAACGGTATAGGGCAGAGGTGTCAAACTCATGGCCCGCGGGCTGGATGTATCACGTGCTGGCCACGCCCACGCCCAGTTTAGTGAAGGGGAAAAAAGTCACGAAATGTCACGTGATGCCGCCGTGATGTGAGTTTGACACCCCTAGGATAGGGTCTCCTGCTTGGACTAGAAGACCTCTAAGATCCCTTCCAGCTCTATTCTGATTGATTGAGATAATATAACTTGGGCAGCAGCTTTTAGTCAGGTAGCATAACTGATGGATGCATGTGCATAACGTACTGCGGAAATCAAAGCAATCATAGATAGACTTCCAAATTATCTGCATGCACTGTTTGACCGGAAAACTTGCATTCTGCAATGCATTGAGACATGGAAGATTCAAAAGGAAGCTTAGTGACAACATAACCATGTGGCTGAAACGTGCCTTGTAGCGTAAGTTGTAAAATGTAGGTTACACCATTATAATAAAAATATACTATCCTACATTATTGCTTATAAAATTCTACAGCTTTCATATATCTGATGTCTTTCAAATATTTAGCTATTTATCCTCATAAAGAAGGAACCTTGCAGAGAAGCTTTTGGGCACCAAGGCAGGTTCCCAATTGATGTTCCACCAGGAAACCAAAGCCAACGGCATCCAAGGATGGTCGTGTTGTGCAGATTGTAAATGCAAATGTTTTCTAAATGTTATTACTGAAATTTAAACTTCATGTGTCTTAGATCACCCTGTTCAGCATGCTACAGTGTTGAAGAAAAGATTAATTCCAGTAATTTTTTGCCCTGTCACCCTTTTGTATGCTCAGTAAATCTCATTGGCTGCATGTAAGCCTACAGTTAATGAAAAGTTGAATAGGTATTGCTATATCTCACCCGTTGCGACCAAACTGACATTTACCTTTGTTTTTGTAAACCATGCTGATAGGGAAACGTATAATTTAATGGTTTGTGGATTTTTGAAAATTCTAACAGCTCCCCATAGATTTCCGATGTTGCCATTTTTATCTAAGTAAGAGAAAATGCCCAGTTCCTTCGTTACCCTTCTGACACAAATTTTGGAATGGCTAATAAGCTGTCATAACCTAACATTTGGAAGCTGCATGGATTTCTCCCTCGCCCTTCCTTTTGAAGCCAGTGATTTCAGATTAACATTTTTAAAAAGCTTTAGCTGGTCCTAATTTAGAACTAATTTTATGTCTGTCAGGCCTCCCTTTTATTTCTCCTTTCCTGCATTGTACAGCGTCAATTAACAGTGTACATTTTCGTTGGTAGGAAATGAATTGGTTCCAGACCTTAACTCAAGTGGGATATTAGCCCCAGCAACTGTACTAACCTAATGGTAGATGACCTGATCTTTTAACTACCTCTATTGCCAAACCAGCTGCCTTAATCAGTCTTAACCAATGTCAACAATTAGGTAACGTCTTATCTTCATCTTCCCATAATGTGTGTTTGAATGCTTGAGTGTGCGTGAGGAAGAGAGAGACAGAATCTATGCATGAATATTCAAATTAACTGTTTAAAGATGTTGTGTAATTCCCTTTTTGATTGAGATAGAAAGCAGTGAGAAAGCTGAATTCATCTGTACTTCGATCTGGGTCAGAGTAGAGAGAATATTGTTTCTAGTCTTGAAAAATGAGAAAAACTTGGCTTTCATTATTAATGTATGTGCGTTTGTGAGAGTATATTTCTATATTTCTAGGTAGGCCAGAGGCTCACACACACATACACACCAACATCATCCTTAAATGTATCAAAATACTTCTTTTCTGATCACAGTGAATATGTAACCAGCTACCACCGACTCCCCCCTTCTGCACAATTATATGCAAGAAGAACAGTTTAAGGCATCATTTATTAATTGTTGTCTGAGATCATCCTCTTAAATTCTAATTTTGTCCCTACACAGGGACTTCACATAACCCCTTGACCTAGAATGTGTTTGTGTGTGTATGAACTTAGGGAAACACATCCTTCAGTGATAGGGGGTTGCCTAATTCTTCCCTGCTACAGTTGTGGGTCCTTATGCTCTTATTTTCTTCACTTCTGCAGGGAGCAACCAATTTTTAGCACCAGAGCCCACATCTTTCAGATTGATCCTGCCACCAAGAGGAACTGGATTCCTGCCAGTAAACATGCCTTGACAGTGTCCTATTTCTATGATGCTACTCGCAATGTCTATCGGATCATCAGTGTGGGAGGCACCAAGGTGAGACCTAAGGGTCAAGCAGCTTCTCCCATGTGGACACTAGTATTAGTGATACTAGTCCTGAGAAATAACTGTGATAATTCTATTCAGCAGGATCCAATCTGGATCAGTCGGCGGGACCAGAGGTTTTGCCTCCCAAGCTTTCAGAAGCCACGTACAACAGCCACTATAAATACCACACACAGAACAAGACACACCCTCTGCTAGAGAGAAGTTCCCTGAAAATGGGCTCCAGCACGAGTCCGAAAGCTCAGAAGACACAAAACCTCTGGTTCCGCTAACCAACCCAGATTGGATTCTGCAGTATATCCTGGGACAGTATATTCGCCTTCATTTGTAATTATAGTCTCTCCTCCTTTAAGGAACTTAAGACACATACTCTTTATGTCAACCCAGTGACCTTCATTGCCGAATGGGAATTTCTACCCATGTTTCCCATGACCTTATGATCATACTGTGTTGGCTGTCCCAGAAATTTATATTTTTTAAATTAATGAAGCAGTTTGATTTGATCATGCAAAAATTCCAAAGTATGCTTATTCCAATTTTCCAACGGCCTTGATTTAGAGCCAATGAAGAACATTTAAAAATATTTGCACAGTGTTCATAACTGTGCGAGCATCTCTTCAAAAATTAAATGGTAAGGGTGGTGTGTGAGAGCTGTCCAGACTGGATAACCAACAAGCTGGAACATATGTTTAATTTGTTGCCGCCTGCCTGGGTGTCACTGCATCCTGCACCCATGCTTCCTGTCATTTTTCAAAAACTAGTTATGCAATTGCTAGGTTGTGGAAATTATTCCTTTTCTAATCTGACTCTAAAAGTCTTGGTATTTGTCTTCCTTGTAGGCCATCATCAATAGCACCATCACCCCCAACATGACCTTCACAAAGACCTCACAGAAGTTTGGCCAATGGGCAGACAGCAGGGCCAACACAGTGTATGGGCTGGGCTTTCCTTCTGAACAACATCTCTCTCAGGTGATGAATTATAGGAAGTGAGATGGGGAAAGGACCATTTTATTTAATAAGTTTCTAAAGGATAGTTTGGATCCTACTAGCTTTTCCAAGAAAATCTCAGCAGAGATCAGTGGGTGTTCTCATTTCTTTCATTGTTTTTAAAGCAACAAAGAGTAGCATTTTAATCTCAGGAAGGATTTTACAGCTTTACAGAGTAACAAGACCGGTTCCTGGCAACCAAATTAGATCAGTTTCCCCACTTTTCATGGTGTATCACTCTGCCTTTGGATTATGGATTTCCTGTCTGGGGGGGTCAGATTAGGTAATCATACCTCTTCAGCCCTTATTCTTAACACTGGTACACCACAGGGTTACATGTTGAGTCCCTTACTCTATACCCTTTATGTGCATGACTGCATTCCCACTCACGTTAGTAATACTATTGCTAAATTTGCAGATAATACGACAGTGGTGAGACTCATCTCCAGGGGGGATGAGTCTGCCTACCGAGATGAGGTGGACTGGTTGCTTTCATGGTGTGGAGACAACAACTTGGTCCTCAACACCAGTAAGACCAAGGAGTTTATAGTGGATTATAGAAGGAACAGGCCAGACATCCAAGCCCTTGTTTATCAATGGAGACTGAGTAGAGAAAGTGGCCAGTTTTAAGTTTCTGGGTGTTACTCTAAAAGAGGACCTGATCTGGGGTGCCCGCATTATACTACCTGAGGCTTCTCAGAAAACAACAACTGAATGAGTAACTGCTGGTGACCTTCTACCGCTGCACCACAGAGAGTATCTTAACTTACTACACCTCTGTATGGTTTGCCAATTGCACAGCGGCAGATAGGAAAGCACTCCAGAGGGTTAACGTCATTGCCCAGGGGATCATTGGTTGCCTTCTCCCCTCTTTGGAAGAGCTTTATAGCTCCTGCTGCCTTAAGAAAGTTCAAAACATTCTCAAAGATCCATCTCATCCTGGGAACCCTTTTATTTTTGAACTATTACCATCTGCAGACAGTACAGAATAATAAAAACAAGGACAAATAGGCTCTTTATTATTTATAATACATTTAAAGTATTAAGGGTTTTGCCTTGTCTTTTTTTTTCTCACAATCATCCTGTGAGATAGATAGGTGAATGTAAGAGAAACTATACTGTATATGAGATTGTCTCATCCAGTGAGCTAAACAGGAATTTGAAGCTGAAACTCTTAACCAATTTGTCTTGTATAAACAATGATACGTACCATTAATGATTCTGTAATTATTCAGGCTAAATAGTGAGGCATAAAACTATGAAGATTATTTTAGTAGATCTTCAATTATTTGAAGACCCTTCTGTATTTGCTTCATAGTGCAAATTGCAGGAAAGATTTTGAATAAACATAGGAAAAATTCCTTCTAGTGGCAGTTGCTGATTAATGGTCGACTGTATTCAGTAGTGGTGAGTTATCTTGGCTGGAAATAGTTAAGGAGGGATGCCTTAATTGCAAGGTTCCTATACCAAAAGGAGAAATAAGAGCGATGAGGTGACAATTTTTTTTCCAACTCTACAGATTCATTGTAAATGGCTGCTTCCTAGCATTTCCTATTCTTGCAACAAAAACGTTTTCTTAAGTAACAGTTAATTTGAAACTCAGTCCTGGAAAAGTGCTTATAACTCTTATTCCTGCAGCCAAACTCTTACTCCTGTCGAGAAAACATTGATTTCCTATCATTTAGAATGTGGAAACCAAGAGTCCTCAGCAAAAGAGAGGAAAGATGGCAGGGGAGGGTGAGAAGGTGATAAAACGAAGGTTGCAGTTTCACAGCTTACTTTGGAAGTTCCAGAGCGGTAGATGACTTCTTTTTTGTATTCTGTTTGTCTTCTGTTCTGTGCACTCTAAAAACAGTTTGCAGCAAAATTCCAAGAAGTAAAAGAAGCTGCTCGCTTGGCCAGAGAGAAATCCCAGGATAAGACTGAACTAACCAGCCCCGCTCTCAGTTTGACTTCCCATCAAGTAAGTCTGGTGGGATTAAGTCCCATATCCACCGGTCCTCAGTGGGATGGCTGAATTCACTGTAAATTAAGCATGATTCAGGTCAACCTCTCTGTCAAAGACAGCAAATCTTTTTTTGTAGTCAGGGCCCATGGATTTTTTTTTTTAATAAAATGAAAAAGCCCAGAGGCTCACAATTTGTTTTCATTGTTATTTTTGTAAAGAAATTGCACAGTGGCAAAATCCAGCATTGCGGCTGAATTTAGTGTGATTTGTTTTGGGGAGGGGTGCGGGGGGGAGCTTGAGAGGCTGCAACAAAGCGGCAGGTGAACTGCGTGCAGCCAGTGTTCACCCTTGCCAGATTTTGCCAAGTATTATCCATTTTAACTGTCAGTGGCTCTCTAAGATCCAAAACTGATCCTCTCGCTGGCTGCTGGAGAACGTTTTAATTGGAGATACTGAGGTCTGAACGGGGAACTTCTTTTGACAAGAAAGGTCCTTTACCATTGAGATAAGGTCCTTTGATCCTAGCAATAGCAGATGTCAAGCTAAGTGTGCGGATGCAACCACAGAAAAGTCAAGAAACAAGGAAACGGTCAGGCTTTGTGGCAATAAGGTAGCTAAGAAACAATTTCATAGCTGGCTCTAAGGGCCAGCAATAGAATGTTTTGTGCTGCTAGACAAGAAATGGGCTTTTTGAATTTCATTTCAACTTTAGCTTATTACTGTTTTTATCCCGGGGGTCCCACTACTTTTAAGTGGATAATGGTAGAACTAGGAGGGACTACACACCATTGTTTTTTTTCTCTTTCACTCGGCATATTCCATAACTTGGTTACCGTTCTAGCTTAATACAATGCACTGTATCATAAACGGGGTTTCACAGCATGCCAACCCACAAAACAAATGAATCAGATTTGCTCAGTACGTTGCGTGAATGCAACCACTAGGTTTAATTGACTTGGTTGAGTGTATCAGTAGAGAGCTTCTACAGCTTGGACTTCCTATTTAGGATATGATTTGAGTGATTTACATGTGTCCACAAATTATGCCTTTGATTTCTCCTGCTTTCTTGTTGCTTAGAAGAGAAGGAAGTAGACACCAGGGATTTTTGCTTGTTCCTTCACAACACCACCAAGGGATGCCTGTTTTCCTCTGATCTCCTGGGTAACAAGGGTAGATGGATCTGGAGGATGAAAGACATGTGTTCCCTAGGCTGGTCACAGATGGATTAGTAGTACAGGAGGAGGAGGAGGAGGAGGAGGATGTCAGAGGAGTCTATTGGCCTGGAGGAGAGGAGAATGAGAGGAAACTTAACTAACCCTGGAAGAGAGCAGAGAGAGGAAGTTGATAGAATCATTGTCAGGATTACATGGGATTTCTGAAACTGAAGCTTTGGGCTATATAAATGTTATTTGACCATTTTAACAGAATAGTTTTAGTACAAGCAGCAAAGAATTTCAGGGGAATAGCATTCTCTCAAAAATTAAGAAAAAGACAAGAATGCTATTCTAGGTTTGGATATAAGAAAGAGAGGGATGACATTCTCAGATTGAATGTTTTAGATTCCCTGGATCTTGGACAGGTTCAGAAGTTCTAGCGCGGTGCTGAGATTAATCACTTGGAGATTCATTGATTAAATTTGTTTGCCGGCCATCTCACCGCAAGGCGACTCTGAACGGCTTGCCACAGTAAAAGCAATAAAATCACGGATGCATTTATCTAATTTCCATAAAAAATACAGATTACAAATTATGACTGAAAGATGGGGAGGGAGGGGGGGAGTAGGATTAGTGGGGGGAGGGAGGTGGGATCTGCTATTGGTCCATCCACAGTCTCCAAGGGTAATATTCTTCCCCTGGGGCCCAAGCCAGCTGTCAGAGCCAGGTCTTCACGCTTTTGTAGAAGGTCAGGAGGAGGGTGGGAAGTGATTTCACTTGGGGTGAGGTGGGTGGGCATAAGATGTTCCTAAGAGCAGGAGCCATGGAAGAGAAAGCTCTTCTCTTGGACCCTGCCTGCTAGAAATCCCTGATGGCCTACAGCAGGGGTCTCCAATCCCCGGCCCGTGGACTGGCACTGCTCCATGGCATGCCAGCAACCAGGCCGCACAAATAAGTAAAGCCCCACCTGAGGGATACAGGCAGCATGTGAAACCATGCTGCCTCCGGTCCACGGAAAAACCTCTCTCCGCGGAACTGGTCTCTGGTGCCCTAAAGGTTGGGGGCCATTAGCCTACAGCATGCCTTCTCTGCCAGTCGAGATGCTTTTTTTGTATGTGTGTATGTGGGTGTGGGGGGAGGATAGAATAATTCCTTAGCAAGCTGCCTTGAAGGTAGCCAAGTCGGCCTCTCCCTTCACGTGTTTGACTGTCATGTTCCTTTGCTTGACAGATTCTGGCCAGCCCCATCATTAGTTCCAATGGTCCCGGAGATGACAAGCTGTTCCGGAGCCAGAGTGCTGACATGGAGATGACCACAGAAAGAGAGCGCATTAAAAAAATGCTCTCTGAAGGGTGAGCAACCAGTTATGGAATGATTCGCATGGATACCTAATCCGCGTTTCATTTTACACCGAATGGTTTAACAAAAGCAAATGGATTTATCAAGAAGATGCTGAGATAGTATTTCCTTTTTTAATTTTTTAAATGCCAGTGGATTTGTTGCTTTTCAGAATCTTTTGCTTTGGATTCCACCCCCCCCCCCCCCCCCCCCAAAAAAATGTCACCCCTTTAACTTAAACCAGGTCAGGGAACAATTACCACAAAAAATACTGGAACTCTGCTTTATTGATATAATAGGCTATAACATAAAGAGTATAGAAAACCTGATGGTGTTTCTCTTGTACACTAGAGGGAATTGACACGGGGCAATCTGGAATTTCTTTCCTATTTTTTCCTGTCTTTTCAAGCTAAGCTTAAGTTTTGCTAATGGCCGTCACATATCTTCTTCATGGCTGTCTCCACACGTCTACAAAAGGTGCTTTGGAGCGACAAAATAGCGTGTATCTACAAGTCTTAAAACAGCCACATTTTTTCCTGTGGCTCACATGGCAGCTTCAAAGGGCAGCTGTTGTAATCCCAGGAACAGATCGAACAGCTTTTACAGCATTGCACACCAGAGCACTTCCTTCTCTTTAAGTGTACTATTTCCCTCCCTCTCTTTCTCTCATGCGCACAAACACTTTGTTCTTTACTAATGGATGAAATGCTCTTTTTTTAGAGTGCCACATTCAGCTCGTGATGAAGATTTCCTGCTTTGCTCCTTTAGTATTCACTCTGCTGTGCATTTTGCTCCCGCTAAATTCAGATCCCTAGGAAAATGCCTAAAATTAAATGCTAAATTAGAGTATGCACTGATTATTGTACCACTCATTTCCCCCCATTCATTGGCATAATTCTCTCTATTATCAGTGTACATGTATGTATTAATAAATACCTGGGGTGGAAAACACACTAATGTGATTCCAAAGAAATCGCTTTTTTATAGTTTTTATCAATATTGGGCATTTTGCATACATAGGTACAACTTTATGCATAGCCGGAACAATGCTGTCTTTTGCAGTGTTTGAGAAATGAACGTTGCTAACACAGAGGAAGCATAGCTTCCTCACAAAATTTTCAGTTTCTTGCTAATTTCATCTCGTGTGGTATTGCTGCTATTATTTTTATTTTGTTACAAACCGTTCTAGGAACTTTTAATTCACTGATGCAGTCTGAGAAACTTTGAATGCAGCCTCCAGAGACCTCTAACTTTTGTTATCAAGCTGTAATTTTTCACACAAGTGAGCAAGAACGTTTTGAAATAAGTTACTGCAGCATAGATGAAACTGTGTCCAGTATGAATTGCGTGTAAATTCACTTAAGTCAAATTTAACTTTTGTTCGGGCCTCCTGCACTACTCTTTCAAGAGTTGCCATAATTACACCACCAGTTGTGAGATCAGAAGTGATTGTTAGTCCAGATGAAATTGTGCCACTTTTGTTTATGTTGAAAAGCTCCCATAAAAATGTACCAAAGGAAACAAAAATTACTCTAGGTTCATTGCTTCTGCTTTGGAAATATGAGTGAATCCTTTTAGAATCCCCCAAATCAAGGGAGAAATTAACTTTGAGAAAATTTTAATGCAGCTTGGAAGGCAGGAAAAAAAAAAACTATTGTAGCAGTCAGTGAGCTGCTAAGCTGCTTCTGTGTTCTATATGCGACATGACTGGTGGGACTTCTAGAACTGTGGTAATTCAGACAAATTAGCTATAGTAGCAGGGTGTTCTCATCCTGTTTCTTTTTTTGCGGTTGTATTCCCCCTGTAGGCTCTGTACTTCGACTCTGTTATCAAAATCCTGGGAAGGAAAGTAGAATGTTGGATTGGGTTTATTTGTTCATCGGGTTTTTCCAAAAACATGCCCCGCTCAAACTGAATCAGGACTTGTGATGCAATCCTTACTCTTTCCTTACTCTGAGCCCAGGTATAGATTCCCACCCTGTTTCTTTCTCTATCCTGATATGTCACAACGAGGGAATGACCTGGTTCTTTTTCTTTTTCCTTTTAACATGGTGTGCTTAGCAAGGGAGGGCCTATTGGATGTATTTGGAAGTGCCAGCACCAATAATTTGAAAGCTGGCTATGGTTAACTTGTTTCCACGCAACTTGGACACACAGTTAATCTTTGCTGTGTTGTGGCAGCTGATGCCTTTTAAACACTAAAGGTAAACGTTAATTTAAAAACACCAATAGCTTCCCTCTGGGGAACAATGTGTCTTCAGAGTTGCTCTACTGCAGTTCCCCAGAGTTTTTTCTTGATAGAAGGTAAGATTTAATGCTGTATTAAATTGATAATACTGTATTTTAATAGTGTTTTTACTTGGCTCCTAGACACGTTGGTGACAACCATATTGATTCAGTGACATTTTCCTTCCCTATCAGAAATACATCTTGAAAGCAATATGAGAAACAGCAGTTAATTCAAATACAATTGCTTAATTGCTCACTGGGTATGGTTATTTTTAGAGTCTGTTTATCGTGCTGCCTTTGAAGTTCTTTACTTTGAAATTCAGGATAACTATCTCCAAATCAGTGGTGGGATTCAATTTTTTTTTTACTACCAGTTCTGTGGGCGTGGCTCGGTGGGCATGGCAGGGGGATGATACTGTAAAATCTCCAGTCAGAGGCAGTATTTGCTGGTTCTCCAACTACTCAAAATTTCCGCTACTGGTTCTCCAGAACTGGTCAGAACCTGCTGAATACCAACTCTGCTCCAAATATACCTGCCCTCAAAGCCTCCCCCTAATTTGTTGGCCATTTTTATTAACAGTAGATTAACGGAAAGTATGTCAGCTGCTGTAAGAAAGATAGAAAGGTACAGCATAAGTGAAATACAGATTAACAGAGTTGGAAAGGACCTTGTAGGTCATCTAGTCCAACCCCCTGCCCAAGCGGGAGACACTACACCATTTCTGACAGATGGCAGTCCAATCTCTTCTTGAAGGTCTCAAAGGATGGCACTCCCACAACTCCCAAGGGCAACTTCTGTTCCATGGGTTGATTGTTCTCAATGTCAGAAAACTTCTCCTTATTTCCAGGTTGAATTTCTCCTTGTTTAGTTTCCATCCATTATTCCTTGTCTGGCCTTCGGGTGCTTTAGAAAATAGCTTGACCCCTCCTCTCTGTGGCAGCCCCTCAAATATTGGAGCACTGCTATCGTGTCTCCTCTGGTCCTTCTCTTCACTAGACTAGCCAGGCCCAGTTCCTGCAACCGTTCTTCATACGTTTTAGTCTCCAGTCCCCTAATCATCCTGGCTGCTTTTCTCTGCACTTTTTCTAGAGTCTCAACGCTTTGTATCTTTCCTCTCCCTGTGTCTCCCAGGTCTGTTTGCGAAGTCCAATGGGAAGCTGAATTTTTCACTCTGCAAGACAATAACAACAAACTGGTGGCTGCCTTGCGTGAAGCTAATGCCAATGTGGAGCAGTGGAAGCAGCAGCTGGCAGCATATCAGGAGGAGACCGAAGCACTGCGCCAACGAGTGAGTGGAGGCCCAAGGGATTCACTCAAGGTTCTCCACTGGAGGAGGGAGAGGGAAGTAGGACATCCCCACCAGTGGTGGGATTCTAATTTTTTTTTACTACCGGTTCTGTGGGTGTGGCTTGGTGGGCGTGGCAGGGGAAGGATACTGTAAAATCTCCAGTCAGAGGTGGGATTGGCCAGTTCTCCAAACTACTCAAAATTTCTGCTACCGGTTCTCCAGAACTGGTCAGAACCTGCTGAATACCCACCTCTGATCCCCCCCTCACAGGGCCTATCGCCCTGGCTAGTGGAAGCCCTCTCTTTTCCACCATATTCCTTTGAGGTCTATACAGGTACTCCTTGACTTGCAACGGTTCATTTAGTGACCATTCAAAGTTACAGCACCACTGAAAAAAGTGACTAATGACCATTGCCGCATCCCCGTGATTGCATGCTCAAGGTTCAGGCGCTTGGCAACTGACTCATATTTATGACGGTTGCAGTGCTTTGGGGTCATGTGATCCCTTTTTGCAACCTTATGACAAGCAAAATCAAATGAGGAAGCCAGATTCACTTAACCACTGTGTGTGACTAACTGAACAACTGGCCTTTATCTTAACATTCACATGTACAAATAAAATGATGAAACTCTCAAACTTTATTTTCACTTCCATAAATGCGCCCTCTTCATCGGTTATAAAAAGGGAAGTATTGACATTTGAAATAACTAAATAAAACAGATTAAACTGCTGAAACTGTTCTATTTCTTATAAGATTTTTTTTTAAAATTAGGATAGTTGTAACAAAATGGCATTCTTTTCTTTTCCCCGCATTGTTTATGTTTCTATTGGTGGTATAAAATAGCTTGAAAAACCTATTTGCTAATAGATGTTTTAACAAAAACATTGAATGAGGTGCATATTTGAGTTCTTAGAATTTCAGCTCTCATTCATTGTTGTGTGTAAAAAACAGAATTTTCCATCTGTTGTACATTTTCCATGGTGAAAATAAGCTAGGTTAAATACAGGCAGTCCTTGACTTATGGCCTCAGTTGAGCCCAAAATTTTCTCTTGCTAACTGAGACATTTGTTAAGTAAGTTTTGCCCCATTTTACAACCATTTTTATCCCAATTGTTAACTGAATCACTGCAATTGTTAAGTTAGTAACATGGTTATTAAGTAAATCTGGCTATCCCATTAAACTTTGCTTGTTAGAAGGTCGCAAAAAGGGATCACATGACTCTGGGACACTGCAACTGTCATAAATATGAGTCAGTTGCCAAGCGTTGGAATTTTGATTATGTGACCATGGGGATGCTGAATCAGTCATAAGTGTAAAAAAACAGCCATAAGCCACTTTTTTCAGTGCCATTGTAACATTGAACTGAATGAACTGTTGTAGGTGTGTGTACCTGTGTTGAAATGCTGGAAGGGAGGTGACTCTCTAATAAATACAATCAGTTTGGCTTCTCTGTGTGGTATTTTGCAATGTAAAAAAATACATGTTGCTATCTGGCTTTAGGGTTGCACACCAAATTCTGATGGAGCATTGGTTTTCTGTAAGGCTTGGTGAGGAAACTACGGGGAAGGTACCACAGGGAAGCCCTTCTGAGGTTGTACATGTTATTTCCCCCAAATCCTGCTTTGTTCCACGTTTCATTGAGGGCCCAGATTGTTGGTGGCAATATGCTGATTCTGTAAACAGCTTAGAGAGAGCTGTAAAGCCCTGTGAAGCAGCAGATAAGTCGAAGTGCTATTGCTACTTGCAGCCAGCTAGTGCTGAGCACTGGCAAACTTAGACTTTTTCCTACTTATTGTGTAAACATTACTGCTAAAGTCTGTGACAAGCTAGCTTTAAGAAAGGCGGCCCAGAGACCTTCTTTTAACCTTCATTCACAATTTTTATTTCCTGCAGCAGCTTTGCTACCCTTGAGAATCTGTGTACGACTAAATAGATTTTATCTGTAGATCAATCCAGCCTCACTTTGCCATTCAGGCTGATTTGGCAATGAATAAAGCCATCATGTGCAGCACGTGCCATTTCCAACTCCTCCTTCTTCTCCTCCAGACATGCCATCCTAAAATTTGGGATTCCAAAATACACGGACATTCAGTCATTCCAAAGCGGAACTGATAAGACTTCACTGTTTCACTTTTTTCAAATGTCTGGATTCTTGAATAGAGTGCTTACACATGTATCATTCATTATTTCTTTCAGACCTTCCCATTCATTTTCATTTTTCATCTTCCTTTGCTCTACTAATAGCAATGGCGCTTAGACTTACATGCCGCTTCACAGTGCTTTTCAGCCCTCTCCAAGCAGTTTACAGAGTCAGCCCCCAACAATGTCTTTGTCTTCAGTGAGAGAAGAAAACAGTTGCTTTAAAATCTTGTTTGTAATGTTTTGGTGGGCATTTTACTAGTATGCAAGGGTGCATTTACGCATTAATAAAATGTCACGTGGATTAAGTTGTAGGTGCAGTCATATTATATGTGTCCCCTTTCCCCAAAGGAGGCAAGTTGCACGGACAATGTTTACATTGCCTTGGGACAAATGTCATATGACAAATGTTTTTTTTTCTTTTGGGGGGAAAAGATCAGTGAAGATTGCTGTAAAGTTTGTGTTTACAAATGTGAGAGTTTGTTTGCTTTTGTGCCTTAAAGTCAGCGTTGACTTCTGGAGTTGCTAGGTCCCTGCATTTTTCTTGGCAACGTTTTCAGAAATAGCTTGTCCTTGCCCTTCTCCTTCTTAGATCTCCGAGGGAGGGAGTGTCCCAAAACCACAAACTGGCTTTGTGGGTAAGGCAGGACTAGAAATCATGCTCTCTGCTTCCCAGCCTGCTACTGTAAACACTACATCAAACTGTCCTCCTTCTATAAGATGAACCTAGGAAAAAATAAAGCTGAATGGATCAACAGTCTCCAGAAAGGTAGTCCCACCTCCCCTGCATTTTCGGGTGCTTTTCAGCACTCAAATTATGTTCGTTCTGCTTGATTTATCTTCCGCCTAATAATCCAGTAATCTGAAGGTGTATTCTGATTGCTAGGCCTTACTAGTGAGTTCTCTGGTAGGGATAGAAAACTCACTGGGCAATTGGCATCGGCCACATTTTTATGCCCACTTCTCTACAGGCTTCTCCATCATAGCCAATCCGCCAGTGGCATTTAGGCTTGGTGGGGCCACCGCTGGTACTCTTTCCCCAGCAATTGTCCACCAGTGCTCCTGCCCTGTCCCATTCTCCTGGGTAATTCACTGAAAGATGATTATCCCCGGGCGTTTCGCTTTGCAGGACACTTAAACAAGCCTCCCAGTAGCTGGGTGGGGTGGGTGGTGGCCTGAGGGTTGGGACGGGATGTGTGAGATGTGCACGGTGCCTCCAGCCAAGAATTCTTTGAAGTGCCAAAGAGGGGTGGCAAGCAGGATGGCTCCCCCCCCCCAGCTCAACTCTGCAAGGCTCCCTTGCTCTTTGTGGGACAGGAAGAGGTGGGCCAATCCTGTCCCTGCTGGAGGCAGGTCACCAGAGGAAGTGATGCATCCCTGACATGGCCCCCTCAACAGCATCTTAGCCAGTGGTTGCTCCCACCACAGCTGGGCTGCATAAGGAAGCAAGACAGCTGGATTGTCTAGATCAGGGGTCGCCAATCTTTTGGGCCTCAGGGACCACCAAACTCATACTTTTAAACCCATGGCCCAGAGACCTGGGAAAATCCCCCCAAAAGTCTGCAGGAAAATTCCCCATCCCGTTTTCCTACCGATGGATCATTCTTTATTTGGGATCACAGGATACCATCTCCAGCTCTGTTTTCAGGAAGAGAGAGAGAGAGAGAGACTTTTGGCTTCATGAAAGGAAAGCAGCAGAAGCAGCCAAAGTCTTTCTCTCTCCCAAACTCTGCCAGAATGGCGCAGCCTCTTTCAGCAGGATGCCTTGCGAGGTCTCGCTTCTGGTAGAGTTTGGGGGAGAGAAAGAAAGACTTCTGCTGCTTTCCTTGCATGCAGCAGAAGAAGAAAGAAGTGGAAAGAAGCAGCCCGGGGGCCAGACCAGGCATGTGGAGTGAGTGGGGCAAGTCCCCCACTCCACCCTTCTTCCCCTACTCTCACTACCTTGTGATGTTTGCAATGCAAGCGACACAAGTCTTGTATTCCCGTGGGCCATGTGGGTGGTGCAGCCTTGTGTTCCCGCGCAGCCTGGATTAATTGCTTTGGGGGTGACATTTCTCTGCGGACCACCAAAATTTTCTCATGGACCATCAGTGGTCCCTGGCCCACTGGTTGGCGACCACTGGTCTAGATTACATGTTTTCACAAAATGACTGACAAAGGTGAGTTAGCTAAGCCCCCATTTGAGCCAAATTTAATCCCCTTGAGAGATTGTTGGATTCATTTGACTTTTTGTTGTTTTCACAACACTCTATCCCTGTTCCCTCACTAACCAAGTTAAAACTATCATGGGAGCTGAGCCTCAGAGTGGGAAAGATTGCTCCATTACTCAACAATCTCCCAACAGAAGCCATAGTTCTCATGCCTGAGCTAACCATGGCTTTCTGCAACAACAAAAAAAAAAATTGGCAAAAAAATCAGAAAATAAAATATAGGCTGAATAGTCAAGACCTCATTGATGATCCAAACTCTGTCAAGGACCTTGGAGGACTCATCTCAAATGACCTAAGTGCTAGAGCCCACTGTAAGTACATAGCCAAAAAGGCATTAAGAGTTGTTAACTTAATCCTACATAGCTTTTTCTCTGGTAATATTACACTAATAACTAGAGCATACAAAACATTTGCTAGACCAATACTCGAATAATGGCAGCTGGTGCTCCATTCAAAATTCAAGAAAGAAATACTACCTGGGACCAGCCTCGAATATGACACGCCAGCTCTCTAAATTCCTGGGTGTAGTCAGCCACTGATCTCTGCCCCTGATTTATGGTCTTCATCCTAATTCTGGCCTTATATTCTGCCAGTGGGTCCTCAAACCTTGCCCGCGGCGCAGTCATGAACAGGTCATAATTCAACAGCTGGGGAGCATTATCATTATGCAAAGTCACCATCCATTTTGCAGCTGTTCCCTCCAGAGCCCTGGTAACACATCTAACTTTGGCTGCTTCTGAGGGGAAATCCCTTCCGTATTCTTCCATATAGCTCCAAACTTGTGCCAGGAAAAATTCCAACTCTTTGGGATCCCCCCCATATTTTACTTCCAACGGAGACAACTTTGGAGTTCTACATCTTCTGGCAATTACACCTCCCGCTGGGGGACCCGGGGCTGCTGCTGCCTGTTGCGCTAGCCCAGGTTGATTTATGGGTGTGGCTGCTTCGCTTCTTCTGGCTGGGGCTGCCTCCCCCTCCTCTCCCTCATGTTCAGTGTGAGGCTCTCCAAGGGCTTCATTTATGAAGTGCCTGGCTTGATTCAGTAAAAAGTCTTTCCTTTCCCTCTCTTGCCATGGCTCCTCTCTTCCACGCCGACGGGTAGTGGTGACTCCTGGGGGCGGGGCTCCTCAGGATCCTTCCAGCCGACTCCCAATGACCATTTAGGTTTTACAGCTGGCTTTTCCCCAAGGGTGAGCTCTGCTAACAATTCAGCTTCCCTTTCTTCCTCTAGCAGCAATGAGTCTTGCCCTCCAATGGCACCCAGGTCTTCTTGGTCGCTGGCTGGAATTGACATGATGTTCAGACCCCCTCGGAAGAAATTGTATTATCTCTCCGGGTGGGCTGGTAGGGTGAGATTCAGAATAATGTCAGCTGGTGCTCCATTCAAAATCCAAGAAAGAAATACTTAGACTGTTTTAATTAGAGAAAAGATATCTTTTACTGGAGATGAAGGGGTAGCAACAAGAGAATTCTGAATCTGAGGAAATAGGTGCGTAAATCACATATACAAAGTGATGGAAGTGTTCTCACCCCCAATAGTTCAAATAGTTCTTCCAAGTAAAAGTTGTGAATATTGTCATGTGGACATCTTCAGGTGGTGATGAAGTTTCTGTCCGTTGACCTTGGCATACTTTGATAAAGGTTTGCAGCTGCGCAGAGCAGAGAAAGCTAAGCAAGAAATAGAAACCTAAGCAAGAATGTACTCTCCCTCCTCCTCAGTTTATACAATACTAGTTTGTAACACCTCCAGCTCGCTTCCCATATTTTTCCCCCTCCTCCGCCCATTACTTATGACAGCCGAAAGATGCAAAGCAAAGGTAGAAGATCTTGAAGGCTGACATTTACAGCTCATCAGTCTGGAACCCACATTACATACCTGATATTAACACAGTTGAGAAAGTCCAGAAATATTTCACAAGAGTTCTCCATTCCTCTACTCATTGCAGAATACCTTATGCCACCAGACTCGAAATTCTAGACCTAGAAAACCAAGAACTACGCCGTCTTCGGTCCGATCTAAGTATAGTATATAAAATCGTACATTGCAATGTCCTACCTGTCGATGAATACGTCAGCTTCAACTATAACAAGACAAGAGCAAACAATAGATACGAACTCAAGGTTAACCTCACCAAACTTGATTGCAGGAAATACGACTTCAGCAACAGAGTGGTCAGTGTCTGGAATGCTCTACTTGACTCTGTGGTTTCTTCCCCAAACCCCAAAAATTTTAACCTTGTACTGTCTATTATTGACCTCACCCCTTTCCTAAGAGGTCTGTAGGAGGCGTGCATAAGCGCACCAACATTCCTACTGTCCCTGTCCTATTGTTTCTTTTATTTTTTTTAATTTTTCTTATATGTATCCATGTATTCATAACTATGTTTTTACTTATACCAATTATCTTGTAAACAATTGACAAAAATGAATGAATGAATGAATGAATGAATACTTGGTGTCTGTGGCGTTGCATCTACCACTCCGAGAAATTCTAGCTAACCTACTGTATTAAAAACAGGATTGTCGAGGTATGGAAAACTGAACTCAATTAATCTTTTAAGTTCTGTTTTAGTAAGGTTGTTCTTGCTGCCTTAAGCTTGTATTTACATCCATCAGAATAGGAATATTTCAAGTGTCCTCTTGTCTTTTTCTAAATTTGTAATTCTACATTGATATCAGGAAGACATCAGGGATTCTCCTTTTCTCCATTATTTTACTAGTGCATCCTTTTAAGTCTGTACCAAGTTCGGCACCCCAACTCACTGAGCCATTCCCAAAATCAATCTTCCTTCGATGCTTCTTTTGTTTTCACTGCTGTTTGCAAAGCAGTGTCTGGAACAGGAGGAAGCCCAGCTACCTTTGATAATTTTGGAAAGGTGTAAAGCAATCATCCTTCCTTGGATCTTGCAGACTTGAGTGAGCAGTATATAACAGCCTCTGATTTTGTTGAACTCCTGGCCTAGTATGTCCGCTAACTGGGCTTTTTGTATGAAAGAATGGAAAGAAAAGGAGGAAGAGTCATATAAGGTCATTTACTTTACTTAAATAAAAAGCATCAGGCTAGCATTTGTTTTCTTGTCTCAAGATTTTGTGTATAATGGATCTAGATATTAGATATAACAGAAGAGCAGAGTTGGAAGGGACCTTCGAGGTCATCTAATCCAACCCCCTGCTGAAGCAGGAGGTGTTATTCTAGACAAATGGTTATCCAATCTCGTCTTGAAAACCTCCAGTGTTGGATCACCCAAAACTTCTGAGGCAGTCAGTTCCAGTGGTTAATTGTTCTTACTGTCAGGAAATTTATCTTTAGTTCTAGGCTGGATCTCTCCTTGATTCTTCCTAGGAACCAGGAGGATCAACAGCCTTAGAAGCTATCAGGAATTGCATTTAGAAAATTGCAATACTGATTTTGATTTTATGTATAGAAAAAATACAGATTTGGGGTATAAGAGAAGTCTGTGGAATCAGAATGTTTTTCAACATCAGCAATGTTAAGAAAGGCAGACTTCAACTTCCAGAATTTCCCCACAAGTATTTTTTATTTATTTATTTGGTTTGTCAATCGCTTACAAGATAATAGGTAAAAGTATAAACATGAGTAAGAATACAGGAAATAGGTACAAATAAATGGGGACAATAGGCACGATGGTGCGCTTATGCACGCCCCTCACAGACCTCTTAGGAATGGGATGAGGTCAATAGTGGATAGTTTGAGGTTAAAGGAGTCAGGGTTTGAGGATATAGCTACAGAGTCAGGTAGTGCATTCCAGGCATTGACCACTCTTGCTGAAGTCGTACTTTCTGCAATCAAATTTGAAGCAGTTTACATTGAGTTTGTATCTGTTGTGCGCTCTTGTATTGTTGTGGTTGAAGCTGAAGTAGTCATTGACTGGTAGGACATTGTAGCAGATAATTTTGTGTGCTATGCTTAAGTCTAACCATAGGCGGTGTAGTTCCAGGTTGTCCAAGCCCAAAATCTCAAGCCTGGTGATATAGGGTATTCTGTATGCTTTAAATGTATCTTAAATGTATCTCAAAGTATGCTTTAAGGTGGGTGGCCTGCTTTCCATCTTATGGACTTCCTCATTCTTCTAGTGACATGCCCATCCACAAGTAGCAGTCAGCGAGTGACCTTCATCATGATAGGTTCTAAAACAATTTTTTTTTTTATCCTAGAAGCTGGAAATGCTCAGAGCATTGAATTTTAGTACGCAAAGCGGATGCCTTACCTTTAGTGAATGCCCTTCTTTTGGCAGCTACAAAGTGCCAGGTTTGATCATATAAGAGCAATTCTGTGAATGAATAGAGAAGTTTCTGGCTTTAAGAAAGCTGATAAAGCGTACGTTCGCGTTTGTGTTTGTGTTCGTGTCAGAGAGATTGAGAAGAAATAGCAGTGATTGCACTTGAAAGAAATGAAAGGGTACAGAAAAGGCAAAGCACACGTCTGGAGAATAGGCTAAATTTCAGGCAGCAATAATTGTACATTTCCCAGTAAGCTTCCTATTTATTTCTATTGTTGGACGCATCACTCCTGCTCACCAAATTGTTTCTTCAATGGTGCAGAATATGAGAGGAATCATTTGGGGTCTTCTATTTTCTGTTGCTGTTAGATACATAGAAGCTGAATAACTAAGGGCTATTCTCTTTGGGACTGTCCATGCTCATTACACACAGTATTGTACCAGTAGTTCTGGAAAGTCCCTGCCTTTTGATAAGTACACAGATGGAGAGATATATGAATTATATATTATGTACATTATTGCATTTCATGCTTTCCTCTTTTTTTTGCCTATTGCTGATTTTAATAAATAAGCATCAGGCATCATATTTTGCTAGCTGTGCCACATGTAGGCTTACTCTGGTCTGGATATAGGGATTGACTGGGAGGGCTCTGGGCACAAACCAGATTGGAAATTATCCACAGTAATTTTTCAACATGCATTATATTAAGTTAGAAAAGGGCTGCCTGGGTTTGATTGGGCTTAAGGTTGTAGCATTCAGGGGAAAAGACTGTGTAATCGGTGGGTTTGAGAAAGAATCTTCTCAGTCATGTTGCTAACTTTCTTTTAAGAGAAATAAAACTCCATAAATTTTACAGTCCTCCTGTTCAAAGCAAGCATTGTAATACAGTATCTCAGATACGGAACATGGATGGATTGTCACGGTGGAACAAAATAAACAAAAGATTGTGAAGATTGAGATCTTTTCCTTCAGTTATCTCCCTTAAATAGAACATTGGGCACAGATGAGGGTATTGCCACTTAGCGTCTTGATCTTGAACAATTTCAGGGCAGTTTGTGGATAGAAGACGATTCCTTTCCTGGTCTTTTTGTCATAGTTCCCAGTTCATTTCAAATCCATATCTTTGTCAGACTCAAGTTTATGGCCGCGATTATTTTGTAGCCCATCACTTTTCAACAATTCTGCTGACACTGTTTTACCATTCTCCTTCTCTCCAATTTCCCGTAGGTGGCAGAGCTGGAAACCCAGAGAGGCCACAATTCCTCAAGCGATATCAGGAAAGAGACCTGCCCAGCTTTAGAAGAGCTGGAACAGTTGGTGAAGGCCAAAGATGAGGTCAGTAGCTGCATCCCAGGTGTCTCAGCTGCCCCTCTAGGGCAGAGCTTATAAATCCAGAAGTCCACAATTAAAAAGAAAAAAAGAGATTCTGTGGGTGGTTTTATTATATAAGTAATTCTCCGATAAAGGAGAATAGTTGTAGCTCAGGATTGACATGAGGGGTCCATGGTGCACTCTGAGCTTGTTTTCTTGAAGTTCATTACCCAAACTCAGTAACATCATCCGTGCTAGTAAGTAGCAATAGCACTTAGACTTATATACCGCTTCACAGTACTTTACAGCCCTCTCTGAACGGTTTTACAGAGACAGCATAGTGCCCCCAATACTCTGGGTCCTCATTTTACTGACGATGGAAGAATGGAAGGATCTGGGTCAACCTTTAGCCAGTCAGGATCAAACTGCCAAACTGCAGGTCGCTGGCAGTCAGCAGAAGTAGCCTGCAATACTGCATTCTAACCACTGCACCACTACAGCTCAAGGAATTCTCTGTATACCAATAAAGGAGAATGTTTGTAGCTCAGGGTTGACATGAGGGGTCATTAGTGCTCTCTGGGCTTCCTTGTTTTCTTTGCAGACATTTCATTACCTGGTCAGGTCATATCATCCATGTAATAGCCTATAAAGCTACACAGGGCATAGAGTGTGGTGGTTTATTTGTGGGTCTGCCTCTCTGCCTCTACTCACCCCATCAAGCCCACCAGAAAGGGCATGCTGTGGGTCCCATTGATTAAGCAGTGTCCTCTGATGGGATGCAGGAGGGAGAGATTTTTCTGCCCTTTAGAACATCATTTCTCCACACACACCCCACCCCCAAGTGCCCCTCTGGGAGGTTAGATGGGACTCAAGCCTGCTTGCCTTTTGAAAGGTTCTAAAAACACGGTTTTGTCAACCAACCTGGTTACATACAGTTTGGAGTCTGCAAGATGGTTATACTGATTGATCCGTGGCTTTTATATATTTGTTATTTTAATTTTGCTTTTAATTAGCTTGGTTATTATTTGGTTTTCAGGATTACAGGTAGTCCTCGGCTTTCGACAATTCAGTTAGTGACTGTTGAAAGTGCCAACAACACTGAAAGAAGGGACTTATGGCCGTTTTTCACAGTTATGTTACTTCCAGCATCCCTATGGTCATGTGGTCAAAATTCAGATGCTTGGCAACTGGTTCCTATTTATGACCATTGCTGTGTCCCAAGATCATGTGATCTCCTTTTGTGACCATCTGGCAAGCGAAGTCAATGGAGACTTCTCCTTAGTTCTAGGTTGAATCTCTCCTTGATTTTTCCTAGGAACCAGGAGGATCAACAGCCTTAGAAGCTATCCGAAAATTGCATTTAGAAAATTGCAACACTGATTTTGATTTTGTATAAAAAAATACAAATTTGGGGTATAGGAGAAGCCTGTGGAATCAGAATGTTTCTCAACATCAGCAATGTTAAGAAAGGCAGACTTCAACTCCCAGAATTCCCCAGGCAGACTGCTTTAAGAGGGGTGGATTTCACTAAACAACTGGGTTGCTAACTTATCAACTGCAGTGATTCACTTAACAACTGAGGCAGGAAAAGTCGTAAAATGGACCAAAATTAACTTAACAAGCATCTCACTTAACAAGAGAAATGTTGGGCTCAATTGTGACCGTAAGTCGAGGACTACCTATATTGGCTTTTTACACTTTTCCTGCATTTTGTTTATTGTTATTTGGTTCTGTTTAACTACTTGTGAACCACCCAGAGTCACAAACGTGAGATGGGCAGCAGTACAAATAACACTAAATAAATAGCTACAATGAACCAGCCTAGAGTACAAACCCAGGTCACGTAAACGTGTTCATTGATCAGAGCCTTTGAATCCACAATTTGGGGTTAATTGAGTCAATTAGAGCGAAGCTACTTGCTCTTCAGTTGCAAAGGGCTCACGGAACCCGAGGCACTTCCTGGAGAAAAATGGACGGAGCGTCTGCATTACCTTAATTGTCAGTTTGATTAATGTGATGGTGCTGCCAGAACTCCTGGCAAGGAGATTTGACTGGGCTAGCAGGTGATCCGATTAAATGCATTGAGGAAACACATCTTCAGAGGTCACCGGTGCTGGTTTGCTTTCCCGTCCTTTACTGCAGTAATTAGAATTTGCATGGATCTAATATCCAAGGTGATTGTGCTGGGGGCGCATTGCCAACCTTCCCTTTCCTGGAATTGTGCAGGAGAGGTGATGGGTCGCCTGAAGTACGCCTGAGGGGTCTGACAACATATGCGAACCTCTGCCTATGTTTGTTGATACCATGTTGATTCCCTTTAAAAAACAAAACAAAACACTCCCCCAATTTTGCTCTCGGAATTTGACAAATTTCATGACTTTAATGACTGCAAAAAAAAGGAACAGAGGATGGATAATAACTGCCTGCCCTCATTTACATAAAGCTGAACTGAACGATTTTGTGCCCAAATTGCACTAAGACCAGAGCACTGACATTACTATGAGGAAGGCACAAGCATAGAATTCCACGAGTGCCTATCTTGAAAGGAGAAGGAGGAATCCCCCCAAATGTAAAACAGAAACGACAGTTGCGTCTCCAGGATCCTATTGCCAAATGCTACACCTTGTGCACCCGCAAACACAAATGGGAGCCAGTGGGACAGAGGTGCGCCTTCCCATCACACACAGCGAGCCAAACAAGCGGCCTAGCTAGTAATAGCATTACCGATGTATTATTGATGTATTGCTATGGCATGACTGATTCTGAAGCGCACGAATCCTCTTTCGCTATTCAGAAACAGAGCTCGACAGCCTTTTGCCTCCGGCTACTTCCCCTGCTTACCGTGCCTTCAATGAGCCCAGATGGAGAAGAGACTCAGCCAGGGACAGAAACGCTCAGGGGAGCCACACAAGAATAAGGAGTGCTCCATTCATGCACAATGACTGCAGTTGCCTCTAAGGGAGACCCAAAGCTTAAAAAGCAGGAAGAGACGAGAATAGGATCCAACTCACTATTTGAAAAAAGAAACGCACAGCTTTTGAAAAGTTCAATCCACGGTGCCTGCCTCCACAATTCGCCAGCATGTAGAATTGGACAAAGTGGCGGTATTCACCCCAAACCCTTAACCTAGTTCCCCATTACTGCAGACCCTACTGTGAGATCTAGCATCACTTATTCATGCTAATTGAGTCAACACCAATTATTTTGGAGAGCATTTCTACCCAGCTGCAATCAAATTACTCTAAGCAGTTTGATATGATTATGTTCCATTACATCAATGTCAACTGCTAGTGAACAGATGAGATCTTTTTTTCCCCCTAGGATAATCTTGTTTTCTAATTGGCCCATCAGGTTTTCCGGCAGAGTGTTTTCCACTGTTGTAATCAAGCCCATCCATCTTGTTGCTATTTTCCCCCCCCCCCCTTTCCCCCTACCTATCCCAGCATTGTGGACTTTTTTACATCTTCACAAAATACGATAATGTGAGGTCCTTTGTGCCTTGAGTGAGAACTGTGGGTTGGTTTGTTCTATGATCTGTTTGTTTGTTTTCTTGGATGCCCGTATTATTCTTAGGCATCTTCTCCAAAACAAAGTTCAAAAGCATCAATTCTCTTTCTATCCGGCATCTTCAAAATCCAACTTTTACTTCCGTAAGTGGAAATCATTGCCTGCACAATTCTGATTTTTTTATGGGATTGACCTGCCCCACCCGTGACGGCGGAGGAGCCACGCTGGAGATCCCATCGGCCAGAGAATTCCAGCTGGCAGGGTCCAGGAGGAGGGCCTCCTCCACCGTTACGCCTGCCCTCTGGAACATCCTGCCTCCCCACTCCCCCGAGAGAGGTCAGCTCCAACACCTCCCCCGTCCCCCGGTCTTCCATTAGGGCCTACAGACCTGGCTCTGCCACTTGGCTTGGGGCACCAAAGGAGGGGCTTCCTGTTGGAAGTGGCTGATAGATTAATATCAGATTCCATCTCCTCCCCCGCCCATCCCCGCTCATCCTACCCCCTCCCTCCCCATCTTTTAGCTATTATATTTTGTATTTTTATATAGTTATATAGTTTTATATTTTAATATGGTAAGCTGTCCAGAGTAACTCTGTGGTAAGATGGGCAGCCAATAAATATGATAGACAATAGATAGACAATAGATAGACAGACAGACAGATGGACAGACATGATAGCAGTCTTCCAATATTGGAGGGGCTGCCACAGAGAGGAAGGGGTCAAGCTATTTTCTAAAGCACCTGTAGGCCAGACAAGGAATGATGGATGGAAACTGAACAAGGAGAGATTCAACCTGGAAATAAGGAGAAACTTTCTGACAGTGAGAACAATCAACCCATGGAACAGAAGTTGCCCTCGGAAGTTGTGGGAGCGCCATCACTTGAGACTTTCAAGAAGAGATTGGACTGCCATTTGTCAGAAATGGTGTAGGGTCTCCCGCTTGGGCAGGGGGGTTGGACTATATGACCTGTAAGGTCCTTTCCAACTCTTATTATCTGTTATTAGACAGACAGACAGCAGTTTCATGTAAACATTAAACGGTGTTGGGGAGAGAAGATTAGCCTGTAGAGAGTAAGGGAGGTGACCTTGACAGATGTATGCTAGAACCATTACTTAGACAAGGATGGCTAAAATATTGTTAGAGTCACAATAAACAAGTTAGTCTTCAGAATATTCAGGCAGAGACTTCCATGATCCACTGTATTATGACAAGACAGAGATGCATAGTACAATCAGATTTGTTAGATTCAGTTATTATAGCAAATCTTAAAAACAAAAAGTAGTTTTGGTCTTTTTGTGAATTTGATTTCCTGGTTTACCTAGTGTTGCTGACAGAGCCTTGGGCATTTGGATTCTGAGGGGTTCGTATAGGCTGGTTATAGGTCAGTTGCATCAACAGGCACATGGACCTACAACCAGTCTACGAACCCTTCAGAATCCAAATCAACCCTACAGCCAACCAGAGACGGCACCGACTCTCAACCAACCCACACAACTCTCTCCCACCTGCAGTTCATCTCCCAATGAGCCTGACCTGATGTAACCTCCCTATCACAAGTCCCATCACAAGAGTCACTGATGACTCACACCTGACCCCCCCCCAAGACCCTCACTTTGACACCCACACCTGAAGCCCTTATAAACAGGAGAACACTGGCATCCCCTAAACCGAGGGTGTCAAACTCGTGTCGTCATGGCGGCATCACGTGACGTAGCACAATTTCCCCCACCCCACCCTTCACCAAACTGGTTGTGGCTAAGGTGTGACACATCCAGCCTATGGGCCGGGAGTTTGACAGCCCTGCCCTAAACTCTGCTGAAGATATTACCTAGTCTGGTAATGAAACATTCGGAAACCAACCCACAAGCTCAGAGAACGGATCTTCACCTTCATCCTACACCCGAACTAGAGACACTTGCCACAATTGCAAAGGAGCAAGCACATCACTCCATCCAAGTCCTGCCACAGGTCATCTGCAGGAGTGACTGATGCAGTTTGTATTCCGTGCCCAAGGGATTCTTCCCTTATTGCTCTCAGGATTGCCAGGTTCATTCGTTAGGATTTTTGAGAAGATACAGATAGTTGCAAGTGTAGCTCATCTTCCCGGTTTATGGCGTCTGTTTCCTTTGAACAAAATACCTTGAGGTTAAAACTACACCTCACGACTTGAGTCGATTAGAACACTCACACAATATCCGGACCATGAAAAGATCCCGTTACCTGTATTATGTGAATCTTCTATTGAGCAGGATTTTTTCCTAACTGCCCTCTCCGTTTGCAGGCTCCTGTACCTGATCATCAGTGCCAAAAACTGAAGAGAGCAGCCATAATTTGAAGACGATAGTCCAAAAATGTTTCATTTCACCTGAAAGTTTAATCTGCACTGTTTCCCAAAATATATTGTGGAAGTACGAATTACATTTTTCACGCTCGGTTTTGTTTTAACATAGCTTCTCCGTTTTCTTTCATGACATCCTCCCTCCCTACTTACGCTTCAGGAGCTTCAACAACTGAGAAGCCAAAAGGGGCTGCAGCAGCAACCAGATGATGAATACGAGGAAACTCGTCAAAAGGTGCAGGTAACAAAGACAACGGAGAGTGAGAAATGGTTATGGAAAATGTCCACGGGAGGACATGACAAAATACCTGTATGGGTGGGTTTCTTTGCCACCAAGCAGCTTGGGTTGTGAACAGTTCTGACACGATTCATTTCATCGTTTCTTCCTGATTTGCTTTCCTCTTGACCCAACGGTGCTTTTTTCAAGAGGCAACTAGACTTTCTGGTTTTTCTTTGAAGACGTTTCGCTTCTCATCCAAGAAGGTTTTTCAGCTCTGACTGGATGGTGGGGAATGGAAGGATTTATACTCCTTGCAGACAGCTGGTCATTTGCATGCTTTTATTTAGAGAGTCGTTAAGGCCCTCTGGAGGTTTATCTGTGTCCTCAGGGTCTACTGTCTACTGTAGATCTGCACATGGCTCCCTGCATTGTACTGCATATTCCATGTTGCTCAGTTTGTGTCTGGGTGTTTTATCCTTGGGGTGGACAAGCTTCTGGGAAACGAAACAACCACTTCATAAATGCCTGGCACAACATAGGAGAACAAACCCATCAGGACGAGATTCAGCAATCCCTCTTCATTTAAAAGACAAAGGCCACTCTTTGGAAGACAACACAGTCCACATTTTGGACAGAGAGGACTGTTGGTTTGAAAGAAGGGTCAAAGAGGCCATAGATATCAAAATTGAACAGTTCTCTCTCAACAGAACGAGAGGGATATGACATCATCCATCTCCAGTCTACAACACAATCCTTTCAACAGTTCCAAGAAGGCTCCACACCCATTTGCACTACTCATCCTTCCATTCCCCACCATTCAGTCAGAGCTGAAGAAGCGAAGCGTCTTCAAAGGAAAACCGGAAAGTCCAGCTGCCTCTTGAAAAAAAGCACCCTTGGGACAACCAGGATCCAGATGACTGAGAATCTCAATAGACTTTCAACCTTCTGGTTGACGTTATTTCTCTTAATCCTAGCTTATGAATATTTGAAGCTGCCTTACGCCAGATCAGATGCCTCTAGTCCAGAATGACCAGTATCCATAACTTTGTCTGGGTTCCCACAGGGAAAACTTTTCCCTTTTTCTGCAACAGAAAGGAGGAGGTGCCGGGGGGGAGGGGGAGGGGAGTCGGCGTAAGAAGCTCAGGTTCTTCTTCAAAGAGCCAATCCAGGCCTTTCCAAGGTCATGGATATTTGATTTCCAGGTGAATAGAATAGAATATTTTATTGGCCAAGTGTGATTGGACACACAAGGAATTTGTCTTGGTGTAAATACTCTCAGAATACATAAAAGAAAAGATACATTCATTAAGAATCAAGAATCATAACATACAACACTTAATGATAGTCATAGGGTACAAATAAGCAATCAAATCATCCTAGGAAACAGTCAATAGAAATCGTAAGGATACAAGCGACAAAGTTACAGTCCTACAGTCACAAGTGGGAGGGGATGGGTGATAAGGAGTGATGAGAAGATTAACAGTAATAGTAGCGCACTCTTTGTAACTAGTTGAACAGTGTTGAGTGAATGATTTGTTTAGCAGAGTGATGGCATTAGGGGAAAAAACTGTCCTTGTGTCTAGTTGTTCTGGTGTGCAGTGTTCTATAGTGCCGTTTTGAGGGAAGGAGTTGAAACAGTTTATGTCCGGGATGTAAACATTTTCACACCCTCTTTTTGACTCGTGCAGTATACAGGTCCTCCGTTGAAGGCAGGTGGGTAGTAATTGTTTTTTCTGCAGTCCTAATCACTCTCTGAAGTCTGTGTCTGCCCGGTTGGGTTTCAGAACCAAACCAGACAGTTACAGAGGTGCAGATGACGGACTCAGTGATTCCTCTGTAGAACAGGATCAGCAGTGGTTGAGCACTCTTCCTTGTTCTCTCTTTAGGACCTAGAGAGACAGAACACAGAGCTGGAGCGGCGCTTGCATTTGGCCGAACAGTCTCTCTCAGAGACGCTTTCTGAAAGGGAGAAGATGTACCAGGAGGTATCCAAATTGGCAGAGATCATGGACATGAAAATCTTTGAGCTGAGTGAGCTCAGACAAGACTTGGCTAAACTCGTGGAGAGCAATTAAACCAGGAAACAGAGGAAGAGCCAACCCTCCTTTAACCCTGGCTTGGTGGGCGTGGGCGATCAGTACGGACATGAAGTGAAGACTGCTTGACTTGTCCAGTGCTTGCATCCTTTCTCCTCTGTTTGACACTTTGGGAGAAGCGAGTCTAGAGGAGGTCGCGACTGGAGAGGACCTCCAAGCCAGTTTCTCCAGCCTTATTTTCCTTTCAGATGCTTCCATTTCTATAAACCGTGGCGTGTTTTTTGCCTGTCCCGAGGCAGTACGATGGGTTTTTCCAGCCCAGTAGTTTTTGATAGAGAATTCTTAACTCTTCCCCTCAGCCATCCCGAGGCACCAATGGCCGAGTCAAAGTCCCCCTATTGTTCCTGTAACCCTGTTGTGTGTTGTGTTTTTAGCAAGACTGCTTTTTATAGATGACTAAAAGCTCCCGTGTGCAGTCAAGCACTCCTACAGAATCCATTTGGGGAAGAAATTTTGAGAAAGGACGGTTCTTCTTTTCTCTCCTTCTTTTATTATTATATGTATCGTGGGGGGGGGGGGCTGTTTGTTTTTAATCTCAAAATAAGCACTGAATATTTTTTAGCAAATCTGCAAACTATGAGAGTCTGCTCAAAAAACTGGAAAAAAAGAAAGGCACGAGTGGGAGGGTGTGAAGGCCACAGTGAAAAGGGGGATCCCTAGGAAGGGCGTGTGCGCGTGTGCGCACGCGCAAGCCGCACCATTTCTCAGTTTGACAGCTGCCAAACACTGATGAATTAGGATAGGCTAAAGGTACCTTCTTTCTTTTTCTGTCTGACAAAGCAATGCAATTCACACACAGCACCAAGCAATAGATTCAGAAGTGGGGGAAAGGAGGGAGTTTGCAGGAACGCAAGTTCTAGCATGCACTGCTGTTACTTAGCTTCCTTCAACCTGGCACCATGATAGCCAGGAATGATGGGTGGTGAATACTCAGAGAGCACCTGGTTTGGGAAAGGTGTTTCTTGATTTAATTCCCCTTTCCTCGTCTTTATTACTTCAAACACGAGGCTTGAAAGAGGAGGCTAACCTGTCACGTCACTCAGAGAATTATTATAAGGGGTTCAGTTTTGCCCTCAGACAGCCCTGGATTTGTTTGGAGCTAAAGTCCTTCTCTCCAGTGAGCCAGTAGAGCTTCCTTAGGAATCGACTGATCTGTTCCCGTTCTGAATTAGAACTCTAGAAAGACCCCATAGGAAGGTGGGCTCTGTAGCACGCCCATGTCTGCCACAAGTTGGCGTTTTCAGGCTTTGAGAATGGAAAATGAGACAGAAAGAGGCATGGTGGTCCTTGCTCTCTTGTTACCTACTTCATGGCACCCTGAGTTAGTCCTGGGCTTCCCTTTTCACTCCCAAAAGCAAGAGAACCCGGGGTGGGAAGCAGCAGCCTCCACCTTCTTTGGCAGCAACTGAGCTGACCGAAGAATGTCTTATCGATCTGACATACAATATCCATCCCAGACTGTTTCCTAGTGGCACATAAAAGTCAGGCAGCTGGCCAGGGACGGAGAGGACTGAGTTAGCCATGGGCAAATAGTCTACATCTGCCCGTGAGTCATAAGGGCCTTTGAGAATCCGGCACGCTTCTGGAAAGGTAGCAGCAGCAGCAGCAGCAGCTTGTGAAAAGATCCCTCAGAATGGGCTGAGCATTGCTTTCTGGAGATGTGATCTGCAAAGAGAACAAGGCCCCGCCCCCCGCTCTCCACGCCCCTCCCCTCCATTCCCGACCCCCCCCCCCTCTCAAGAACCCAAGTCTCTGGGCTTAGTTACAATATGGTTCTTCTGCTCGTTTGGGTACTGTTTGCAGTTTGATAACATGGTAATAATGGTGTCAGTGAAAGTTTTTTTTTTTTTTAAATTGATATTTTCTGGTTTAGTGCTATATGGTTGGAACAATAACCCAAGAAGTGATTTGTATGGACAAAACCTTTGTGTGACTCTCTTGAATTTCTTCACAGTTGCAACCGGCAAAGGGAAATCCCGCGGGGAGACTGACGTGCTTCGTTCTAAATTTAACTTTCCATTGTAAGATTCTAACACTTTTTGATTTTTAACATAAGAGTGAGAACATAAGAAGAATCTCGTTGGATCTGCCCTGCCTGTTGCACCCAGCATCATTGTTTCCAGCACTGGCTGAATAGCTTTAGAAGGAGGAGATGGAGCTTTGCAGTTTGTCCCTTTGCAGTCAGTAATAAGGTACATTACTTCTAAGACTGGAGATCCTGGTTAATGCCTGATGTAGTGCACATACATTTGTCTGTAATCTTTCAAAGTCCATTAAGTCAACTTTTCATTTGGAATCATTATATATTGAGAGAGAAGAATTAAGTGATTCCCAGTGAAATCTGCAAAAGTGACAGGTTGAATAATGGATTTATCAAGTCCAAGGCTGGAAGTAAAATACCTCATGTTGTTGGCTTCCTATTATTAGTAGAAAAAATAGATCCCGTCATAATGACATCTAAACAGCTGGAGCCAGAATTCAGAGTTTAAGAATACATTTGAACCTGTGCGATTGTCCTTAAGGATCCTGATTCATGTTTAGTGGAGGGTTAATAAGACGGTCCAAGTCTCACATTTTCTTCTTTGCCTTCCCCCCCCCCCTCTTTTCATGGCAGAAATTTAACTGAAATGTTGGTTTGATATCAGCCACTCTTGCTTAACACTACAGGGCTGATTGTGATAGAATTTGGAATAACCTCCCCAGTGTACCTATACATATCCGGGTAAATTGAAACCCCACTCATAGCAAGCTTATAGCTCGGTGATGAAGGGAAGGAACCAGTGGTGGGATTCAAATTTTTTTACTACCGGTTCTGTGGGTGTGACTTGGTGGGCATGGCTATGTAGTCATGTGACTAGGGGTGTGTCAAAAGACAAAGTCACTTTCTGGAGCAGGGGGTTGGACTAGATGATCTCCAGGTACCTTCCAGCCCCGGATTACTGGACTGTTTCAAAGCATCCTCTAAAGCTGCGTCTAGTGCCAAGGTTTGTGGTCCTTCCTTCCTCTCCTTTTTTCCTCCCTCCCTCCCTCCCTCTCTTTTTTTCCTTTCTCTTTCTCTTTCTTTCTCCCCTCCCTCCCTCTTTCTTTTTTTCTTTCGCAGGACCCCACTCCAGCACCCCGTTTTGGGCCTGGTAGGCCTCAGGGACGCCTCTTGGGAGATGAAAAAAGAAGCATTTTAGTGGGGACGGGGGGAATCAGCTGTGCCATGCAATTTAGATTAGCTAGAAAGTAAGAAATCCGATGATTTCCTGCTTTCTAACTCATCTAAATCATGTGGCACAGCTGATTGTCGACCAGCCGATCATCGGAAATACCTGTTCTGGCAGAACTGGTAGTATTGTTTACTACCAGTTCAGCCAAACCAGGCCAAGCCAGTAGAATACCTCCACTGGAAGGAACAGGTAACCTGCAGGTCTTTTCTTTTCCAACTTCTTTGAACAGTTTCCTTCCACTTGGATGAAATCGGGGCACCTTAGCAAGACCTGAGATCGGCCTTCTCTTTCCAGAGACTTTCCTGTCCTTCTCTGTATGTTAACTGTTTTCTTAAGATCAAAACTAAGCTTACCGCTGTTTGCTCCTCTGAGATCAAGTCAGGATGATTCCCTGACGCTTGAGCTCATTGTCCTGCCCTGTCAGAGACAGCGCAGCTCCTTCTACTGTCCTTGAAGTCACCACGATGGATCAGGACAGGAACGGCAGTCATGGGCCACGGGTGGCTCCGTAGGCTCTTTGCAAGGTTGGCAGTCTGTGGAGGTTTCCTGATTTTTGTCCGAAAAGGGATTAGTGATGCGCTTATTAACATCACTAAAAATTAAAAAAAAAACCTCACTTGCTAAAAGAACAAAACAAATGTAACCCCCTGCAAAACGATCGTTTTAAGCGTCCTGGCTGCAGAAAGGCTGAGCTCTGCTAGATTAAGGGCACGGGGTCGAATCATGCAGCCAGGACTATTTCAAGCCATTTTATGCCCGGCATCTCTGCCACTGGAGGGGTTCTTCTTTCCTTGTTACAGCCGGTCCTGAATAGAAAGGATATTTCAACGCAAAGGAGGTTTTTCGCTGAAAGGGGACTTTGCACTACTGGGACCAAAATCACAGCTCAACAAACAAGCTTTTGCTCAGGAAAGCCATCCTGTCTCCCTCTGCCCGTCCCTCGTTCTAATCGTCCAGGCAGCAGAGATGGAGCTATGAAGGGGGCGGGGGAGGGGAAAGGATGAATCTGCTGAGAAAGTGAATTGTTCATTTATTCATGAAAGAATGTAGCAGTTGAAGAAGGCCCTCAACGACTGCAAACCAGGGAGGGATCACAGACCCCATTTTGCACCCAACTAGAAAGGATGGAGGAAGCCCCACTGTGCCTGTCTGTAAATCGGTCCTTATAGCATGCACTACAGCCATATCAAGCCTGTCACCTGGAGACCTTGGTTAGTCCCTCAGTACTTTCAGTCTTCCTTCCCTTGGGATTATTTCCTTGTTCGTTTTGGTTGAACGAACCCATTCTTTTTGTCCTATTATCTTCAAGTGATAAGGATTCCCTCCGCGTGTTCATCTGGCTTTTTTTTTTTTTTTCAGCAAGTTGCCAGGTTTTGGATCCAGCATACAGTCTCTTGGCTCCTCATTCAAAGCCTTGTTCTTGTCCAATGAAAGGCTGTTAATTGACTATTTTTGCAACATGAACGATTGAGGACAATTCCAAACATCTCTCTTAAGCCACTCGTCTCTGTCTTGCTGGCTGGAAAGGAAGGGAGCTTGAGAGGTGGCTGTCTAGATGTAAAGCGTTGACAATCACACTGTTCTGCCCAAAGGCTGGTTATCGTGTCCCTAATTGTTGGATTCTGCTCCTGCTTCACCTTCAACAGGGGTCTCCAACCTTGGCAACTTTACAATTTATGGACTTCAACTCCCAGAATTCCTCAGCCAGCTGCCAAGAGTAGAGACCCCTGGCCTACAACCACTTTCAGCAGTTCTCTGACTGGAAGTATATAAATCCTTCCACTCCCTACCAGTTAGTTAGAATGGAAGAAGCTTCTTTGATGAGAAGTGAAATGTTTTCAAAGGAAAAACAACAAGAAAGTCCAGTTGCCTTTTGAAAAAAGCATCTTTGGGACAACCAATGGAAGGATTTATATTCTTCCAATCAGCTGGTTATTAGCACGCAGGGTTGTTAAGGCCAGTTGATGTCAGGGCTCCAGCATCCACCCCTATTTAAATCATGAGTCTCCAGCCGCATCTCTCGTAGTTTTTTAAAAAACCTTTTATTAGGAGTGAACATGCCGGTACCACCTGGGTGCAGCCGACTCTGAGATACATCATTCATTTCACCCTTGATCCTGGTCTTCCCCCAATCCCTGGATGTATATTCTCTAATGGGACACATCCATAGCCAAGAATCATCAATCATGCTCTCCAGCAGTAATCTTGCTTGATAATAATAAGCTTTGGCCGCCTAACAATTATCTATGAAAGCATTTAAGGAATGCACTCCTTCCCCCATTCCCTTTCTTCTGACAACTCTAAAAGACCAGGGAAATATTTTTGAGTTGACACTTGAGAGGTTACCTATATCCTCAGAGTCACCTGAATCAGAGTACAAACGGGTGTGGAACCTTCTTGGAACAGCCGAAAGTGTCTATCGCTTGCTTTTCTGGCATAGACGTGATAGATCAGAGTATCCTCAGAGTTGAAATCCACAGGTCTTAAGGTTACCAAGGTTGGACATCCCTGAAACTAGAAGGAAGGGAGAATGCCACCAAGAGCACCCATTGGCTGGTTTAAAAGTAGGTTTCTCCTACAATAAATTTAAATGCCGCAGATAGTCCATACAGCACCGTTGTGCTGACAGAAGATACTTTTGATACAGCAAGAAAAAATAGAAGTTGCCTTCTCAACAGGCTAGGAACGGATTAAGGATGGTGTGGGCTTATGTCCTCCAGAATCAAGAAGTGGACAATATTTTAGATAACTAGGCAGGTCCCATAGTTTTTATTCTTTACTCCCTCAGTTCATGCTGTATATAAATGAGACGGGAATGAAAACTTAAAATGACCAGCGAAGGTGAAGTTCCTAGAGCTACTTCATTTTTGTGGGGCTATTCTAGGACTTCAGCTGTCACATGTTATCTGCTCTTGACCCATTTAAACCTGTCATACCAATAGAGCTTTCAGCAGTTTTCAGACCAACTGCTTTTCTATTGGATGGTATTCTTCATAGTCTATCATTTCCAATAGGCTCGTTTAAATATTGTAGGATCTCCATAAATTAGCATGATTTAATGAAAGGACCCAGCCGGAATTCCCATTTGCGGCTTTAAAGGTCAATACCAAAAATTTAAATTGTGCTTAGTAAGCAACTGGCTACTTACTCAGATCTTTTTAATGGGCAGCATTGGATCTCAAGTCACAGCCTGGATGTCATGACTTTATAATTTATGGACCCTTTTAAGAGAAGCCCTGCATAAAACACATTGCGTTGGTCAAGTTGGATGTAACCAAGCTATGGACAACTACCGCCAATCTAATCCATTGGCCATTAGCCATAATTATGCAAATCCAGCTGTTGAGCACAGTTGCTATCTGAGTACAAACTCTGGGTCATGGAGCACCTCCAAATAGCAAACATCCTGTTTTGGGGCAAGGAACCCCTAAAGGTCACCGGTCCTGGTTTATTAAGAGCATCCCTGTTATCTGGATTTAATTTATTTTCCTTTATCCACAAATCTCTGTATCCTTTTGTTATCCTTTATAACTGCTGGTAACAGTCTAGTGTCTTTGATTTTTCTTCCCTCTCATTTATCTTTGGGGAGTTTTCCTTAAGAACATTAAATTGCAGTACAGATGATTTTCCATCTCTTTCCGATTGGTTGGGATGAAGCTAAAAATAAATCTCTGGGTTCCTAT